GGGGGGCCATGGGGGGACGTGGGGATGGGGGGACATCAAGGACATGGAAGGACATGGTGGGGACATGAGGTACGTGGGGATGGGGGGACATCAAGGACGTGGTGGGGACAGAGATGGGGAACATCAAGGACGTGGAAGGACGTGGTGGGGACATGAGGTACGTGGGGACGGGGGGACATCAAGACCACGGAGGGGACACTGGAGACCACAGGGGACCACGAGGACCCCCCTCAGGACCGTGGGGTGGCCCTCGGTGGGGTCACCCCACACGTGTCCCCCGTGTCCCCCAGGTGATCATGGTGACCGGGGACCACCCCATCACGGCCAAGGCCATCGCGGCCGCCGTCGGCATCATCTCCGAGGGCAGCGAGACCCCCGAGGAGGTGGCATCTCGGCTACGTGTGCCCCTGGAGAGGGTGGACCCCAGGTGGGACCCGGGTGTCGGGGAGGGGACCAAGGTGTCCAGGGGTGGAGGTGGCCACGACACCTTGGGTGGCCCGTGGTGGCAACCACAGCATCTTGGGTGGTCCTTGGTGGCAACCACAACCTCTTGGGTGGTCCATGGTGGCAACCACAACGTCTTGGGTGGTCCATGATGGCAACCACAACGTCTTGGGTGGTCCATGGTGGCAACCACAACGTCTTGGGTGGCCCGTGGTGGCAACCACGACACCTTGGGTGGACAATGGTGGCAACCACAACCTCTCAGGTGCCCTGTGGTGGCAACCTCAACCTCTTGGGTGCCCCATGGTGGCAACCACAACCTCTTGGGTGGTCCATGGTGGGGACCTCAACCTGTTGGGTGGTCCATGGTGGCAACCACAATGTCTTGGGTGGTCCATGGTGGCAACCACAACGTCTTGGGTGCCCCATAGTGGCAACCACAACGTCTTGGGTGGTCCATGGTGGCAACCACAACGTCTTGCGTGGCCCGTGGTGGCAACCACAGCATCTTGGGTGGTCCATGGTGGCAACCACAACCTCTTGGGTGGCCCGTGGTGGCAACCACAACCTCTTGGGTGGTCCTTGGTGGCAACCACAACCTCTTGGGTGGTTCTTGGTGGCAACCACGACACCTTGGGTGCCCCATGGTGGCAACCACAACGTCTTGGGTGGCCCGTGGTGGCAACCACAACGTCTTGGGTGGTCCATGATGGCAACCACAACGTGTTGGGTGGTCCGTGGTGGCAACCACAACGTCTTGGGTGGTCCATGATGGCAACCACAATGTCTTGGGTGGCCCGTGGTGGCAACCACAATGTCTTGGGTGCCCCATGGTGGCAACCACAACCTCTTGGGTGGTCCGTGGTGGCAACCACAACGTGTTGGGTGCCCCATGGTGGCAACCACAACCTCTTGGGTGGTCCTTGGTGGCAACCACAACGTCTTGGGTGGCCCGTGGTGGCAACCACAACGTCTTGGGTGGTCCATGATGGCAACCACAACCTCTTGGGTGGCCCATGGTGGCAACCACAACCTCTTGGGTGGCCCGTGGTGGAGGCAACCACGTCTTGGGTGGCCCGTGGTGGCAACCACAACGTCTTGGGTGGCCCATGGTGGGGACCTCAACCTTTTGGGTGGTCCTTGGTGGCAACCACGTCTTGGGTGCCCCATGGTGGCAACCACAACCTCTTGGGTGGCCCGTGGTGGTGGCAACCACGTCTTGGGTGGCCCGTGGTGGCAACCACAACGTCTTGGGTGGCCCATGGTGGGGACCTCAACCTTTTGGGTGGTCCTTGGTGGCAACCACGTCTTGGGTGCCCCATGGTGGCAACCACAACCTCTTGGGTGGTCCATGGTGGCAACCACGACACCTTGGGTGCCCCATGGTGGCAACCACAACCTCTTGGGTGGTTCTTGGTGGCAACCACGACACCTTGGGTGCCCCATGGTGGCAACCACAACCTCTTGGGTGGTTCTTGGTGGCAACCACGACACCTTGGGTGCCCCATGGTGGCAACCACAACCTCTTGGGTGGTTCTTGGTGGCAACCACGACACCTTGGGTGCCCCATGGTGGCAACCACAACCTCTTGGGTGGTTCTTGGTGGCAACCACGACACCTTGGGTGCCCCATGGTGGCAACCACAACGTCTTGGGTGGCCCGTGGTGGCAACCACAAC